CTCTCGCCATGCCAGATCAGCACCAGCTTGTAGGCGGCCGTGGTGGTGGTTCCGAGTACAGTGCAGACTGGCAAGGCTACCTATTTCTAGAAATTTATTCATGTCTTCTAGTTATTGAATTTGGTGGCCTATAGTCTTTCATAATATTCTAGTATGATTCCTTGTATATATCTGTGATGTCTGTGGTGACTTCTCTCTCATTTCTGATTTTGTTTATATGGGTCTTTTCCCTTTTTTCTTAGTCTAGCCAGGGGTTTGTCGATTTTATTAATCTTTTCAAAGAGCCAGCTCTTTGTTTTATTAATTTTTTGTATAGTCTTTTTGTTCTCTATTTCATTTCATTGTGCTCTGATTTTTATTATCCTTTCTTCTGCTGACTTTGGGGTGCTTTTGTTCTTCTTTCTTAGTACTTTAAGATGTGATGTTGGGTTGTTTACTTGGAATTTCGCTTGTTTCTTGAGATTGGCCTGTAATGATATAAATTTCCCTCTTATTACTGCTTTTGCTACATCCCAGAAGTTTTGATATGTTGTATTGTCATTCTCATTTGTCTCTATATATCTTTTGATCTCCTCTTTTATTTATTCTTTCACCCAGTCATTTTTTAGTAGTATGTTGTTTAATCTCCACGTATTTTTGGGTTCCTTTACTTCCTTTTTGCAGTTGATTTCTAATTTCAAGGCATTGTGGTCAGAGAATATGCTTGGTATAATTTCAATCTTCTTGAATTTGTTGATGCTAGTTTTGTGACCCAACATATGGTCTATCCTTGAGAGTGTTCCATGTGTACTGGAAATGAATGTATAATCTAATGTTCTGGGATGCAAGGTTCTGTAATGTCAATTTTGTCCATTTGATCTAGTGTTTCATAAGGTATCATTTATTGATTTCAGAGAGGGAGAGAGAGAGATAGGAGCATCAATGACAAGAGAGAATCGTTGATTGGCTGCCTCCTGCACACCCCCCACTGGGAATTGAGCTTGCAACCCCTGGCATGTGCCCTTGACCGTAATTGAACCCAGAACCCTTCAGTCTGCAGGCCGATGCTCTATCCACTGAGTCAAACCAGTTAGGGCCCAAAATATTTTTTATTGCTTTTCTAGAGCTGTCAATGGAGTATTGAGATCCCCAACTATGATTGTGTTTTGATCTGTTTTTCCCATTCTGTGAGTAGTAGTTTTATATATTTTGGTGATCCCTAGTTGGGTGCAGATATATTAAGAAGTGTTATGTGTGTTTTTTTCTTTTTTAATATATTTTTATTGATTTCAGAGAAAAGGTAGAAGGAGAGAGAAATGGAAACATCAATGATGAGAATCATTGATCGGCTGCCTCCTGCATGTCCCATACTGGGGATTGAGCCTGCAACCCATGTATGTGCCCTGACCAGGAATTGAATCCTGGTTTATAAGTCACGCTCAACCACTGAGGCACGTCGGCTGGGCAAGAAGTGTTATGTTTGCCCTAGCTGGTTTGGCTCAGTGGATAGAGCATCAGCCTGTGGACTGAAGGGTCCCAGGTTCGAATCCGGCCAAGGGCACATGCCTAGGTTGCGGGCTCAATCCCCAGTAGGGGACCTGCTGGAGGCAGCCAATCAGTGATTCTCATCATTGATGTTTCTCTCTTTCTCCCCTTCTCCCTTTCTCTCTGAAATCAATAGAAATATATTTAAAAATTTAAAAAAAAAGAAGTGTTATGTTTGATGTAGTGTTCCCTTTATCATTATAAAGTGTCCATCTTTGTCTCATGTTATCTTGAAATCTACTTGTCAGATATAAGTAGGACTACACCTCCTTTTTTATGGATGTTATTTTCTTGGAGAATCATTTTCCACCCTTTTATTTGAATCTACCTTTGTCTTTATAGCTTAGATGTGTGTCTTGTATGCAGCCTATGGTTGTGTTCTGTTTTTTGGTCCACTGTGCTACTCTGTCTCTTTATTTATGAATTCAGACCATTTACATTTAGGTTTATTATTGATGTATGAGGATTCCTATAGCCATTTTATCTTTTTTTTTCTGGTAGCTCTGTGCCTCCATCCGTTCTTTTCCTTTATGTTTCTGTCTGTTGTTTTTGTTTGGTGGTATTCCACACTTCTTTCCTCTGTTTCCTCTTTTGTTAAGCTATATGACCTGGTTTGGGGATTTTTGTGTATGGTTTCCAGTAGGTTTATAAAAAATGAAGTTGCATATATACTGTAGTTTTTTTCCTTTTGAGTGTTTCTGATCTTCACCTTCCTTTGCCAGTTCACACCTTCCCCCCCTCCTCTTTTATGTTTCTGTTGTCACAAATGATCCCTGTTTATGCTGTAAGTCTTTTGGTGGTATTGCTCGTCGCGCTGTAACCATAATGTTCTTTGTTTCAGGTAGAATAACTCCCTTAAGTATTTCCTGCAATGGAGGTTTTCTGGTGATAAAATTCTCAACTTCTATGTCTAGGGACAACTTTATTTCTCCTTCATATTTAAAGGATAATTTTACAATTTGCAATACCATCTGAAGATAGAAAACACAACACTCAGAGCACATGAACACACGGACAGGTGCGGACAGAGGCCTCGTAGGCTCTGTTTTAAATGTTTAGCCAGGAGACCTGTGATGAGTTAAGTTTATCCACTCAGATAAACTAAAGATTTTTCTTACTAGAAGTTGTGGAGAATACAATCTTAGAGGGCCTATAGGCTAGATTTGGGACCAGGGTGTTTCTATAGTCATTTGTATTAAAAAACAAACAAACAAAAAAAACCCACTTCTTTTTCCTTGTTTTTTTCTTCAGTCTTAGGAATTGAGATAATAAAAATGGGTGGGCTTTGAACTGCTTCTACAGCTGCCTTTCTGGTTTTGCAAAGATTTGTAAGATAAGGATAATTGCTTTCAATTCCCAAAGAGCTGGGTTGTAACTTAAATGACATCATAGGTTAGCTACCCATCCAACTACATCATCTCTGAGTTGCTTTTTCCCTCTGGTTATGTAGTTTTATTTTTAATTATAGTTAATAAATCCTTTCAAATGTCATGTTTCCGCTTGGATAAACAGTAATTATTTCTGACAGTGTTAAAGTATTCCATGGACTCGAGAGGGTGCAAAGGTTATTACCTTCCCAAGTCATTCCCTGTGATAGCCTGCATGTCACAGGGAGGCAGAAAACCAAGCCCAGCTCTTAGGACAGAGGTAATAAATAGTTATCCCTGGGAGAAAGGATCAGTGGCCATTTGGCCTGGATTTGGGAAAGAAGGAAGGGACGATGTGAAATGATCTCTCACTGCGCTCAGGTAATCTGTTTACAAAAACTTTCTTTTTCATTGAATTTATTTGGGTGACATTAGGTTAATAAACTTATATAGGTTTTAGGTGTACATTCTATAACACATCATCTGTATATTGTATTGTGTGTTTGCCACCCTTCAAAAACTTTTGGGGATCCTCCTTGGGTTTAGGAAATTCTGTAATTATTGTCCTCAGATTGGCCTTAGACCAAGGAGTGAAAGATATCCAAGGATAGTCACCTGTAAGTACCATCAGACTTACAGACCTTTATTTTAGGTTCCTCTTATATCTTTAATTTTTATTAGCCTATTAAAAATCTCCTACAGCAAATGTGTTAATGAAGCTTTTTCAAAATTTGTGAAGCCTTCTGGTGGCTCTTGCATACAATGAAAAATACTGTATCTTATTCTATGTATTTGATTTGGAAGCCCTTGCTTAAGTGCACTTTTTAAAATGATCTAACCTAATTGAAGCATTCCTCATAATTGCTATTGTAATTTTAGGTTTAATTTATTTGAGGGTTAGCAGCAGTTTGATTGGCTATAAATGTTCTGAACTCCTTCAGTCCCACCTTTGACACTTCCTGACAAGTTTCACATTCCAGATGTTGGATTGGTAGATGGCACCATATCTCATTAAACCTGTCTCAGTCGTGCCTAGAGGGTATCACAGTCTGTCACTGTAGGTGCAGTATACAAACTAATGCTGAATAAACACTGCCGAAGCTTTACTGATTCTTGTGAGTCTTAGTCACCATCCTGTGAAATTCATTCACTCAGCGAGGATTTCTGGAATAGTGTGCCAGGCCTGATGCTAAGAGTGACTCAGCCTATAAATTATCCTACGTAAGAATGGGGTGGGGGCGGGGCTAGATAACAAATAACATGACAGCATTGTGGGAAAACTGACTGGGGAAGTGGACTAGGAGTGTTGGGCTGAGACAGTGCTTTCAGTGGTGAGGAGGCCTCCTAGTAAAGTGACACTTGAGCAGAGACTTGGGGTGAGTGGCTCATGCTGGGAGACCCGTTGGGGAGACCTGCCAGGGCCAGGGGATGTGAATTCAGGGACTTTCCAGGACCCCCGAGAGGATGAGTCAGCGAGCAAAGGGAGAGTGCTGGATGAAGTTAGGGAGGCTTCGGGTGAGAAGTGGAGGTGGTCGAACAGATCTGATTCCTTGTAGGCCCAGGGCTTTGGCTTCTGTCTGGATGGGCACCATTAGAGAGTTTGCACAGGATTGTGAAATGATCTGACTGTTAAGACTGGGCAGCAGGGACAGAAGGGGGGAGGGGGGAGAGACCCATGATGAGGCTGCTGCACAGAGATGCCAGTGGCCTGGACCAGAGGTGGCAGTAGATATGGTGAGGAGCGGTCAGATTCTAGATATATTTAGAAAGCAGATGTAAATGTAAACAATACGAAAGTCACCCTAGTGACAGGTGTCCTTATGAAGGTCAAGAGGGCTGCTTAACCAAGCAGTAAGGCATGAGAGTCTAAGTTATCCAAGGGTGTTTCCCACCAATAGTCGCTTACCTCCTTGTTTCAGTTTTTAAGCTTAAGGGAAAGAACCATACCTACACTTTCTCTGCATCCTCCTGCCACCCAGCACATAGTAGGTGCTTATTGAGGATTCAAGTGGTTTTGCCTTTGTTCTTTTTTACATTGTGAAACTATGGGGTGATGTTTGCCTTTGTTTTACATTGAATGTATATTTCTAAATGCTTTTCCTTTTGTAGGTGAGAGGCCATTTACGTGTGAAATCTGTGGCAAATCTTTCACAGCAAAGAGTTCTCTTCAGACCCACATCAGAATCCATCGGTAAAGTTATGCAGATATGTCTCTTGTGTAGAGTCCTCATTCAACCCTGGCATTCAGTAGGATGACATTCATTACCGTATTTGCCAGCGTATAAGACGACTGGGCGTATAAGAATTTTCTGTGTAGTTTCCAATTTTAAAAAATCTTTTCTTACATACTCGCCGTATAAGACTACCCCCAAAACTGATGTTGGCCAGCAAAAGTTTGCACTATTAATTTCATTTCATGAATTTTGGTTTGGTCTGGGGGCAGGTCCAAAGCTTAAATCTTCAATCAAAATAAATATTGAATTTAATGTTTTCTGAGTGAGTGTTTTTGTTCACAAGACGTACTTCTAAATTTGATTTCATATGGATGCCTAAATTTGATGGTGAATGAAGATTTCCAGCTTCAAGAGGCCACTATGGCACGGGGCAAGCACTATGGGCAGTCTATCTGAAGTGTACCTGGCGTATAAGACGATCCCCCACTTGGAGGCATATTTTTCTGGGCCAAAAAATCGTCTTATACGCCGGCAAATACGGTACATATATAATTCTTTTCACCAAATTATTACTCTGGTAGAATTTTCTGTGTAGTTTATAATTTTTAAAAATCTTTTCAATAAATTCCTCACTTAGGCAAAATCAGGAAAACTGATGTTGGCCAGCAAAAGTTTGCACTATTAATTTCATTTCTTGAATTTTGGTTTGGTCTGGGGGCAGGTCCAAAGCTTAAATCTTCAATCAAAATAAATATTGAATTTAATGTTTTCTGAGTGAGTGTTTTTGTTCACAAGACGTACTTCTAAATTTGATTTCATATGTCTTCTAACAGCTTCACAACTAGGGGCTACTCATTTTAATGTTGAAATTAGTTGTATATATTTACTTGGCCATCAGAGAAAATGGCTGTGAGAACTAAAACAAAGCAAAAAGGAACTAAATGTGTAATATATAAATATTTACTTATCTAAAATAAATACTATGTAATCATAAACTTTTATTACATCTAGTCCAACCCCATCCACCCCCCTTCCTCAGACACCACCCCCACCTTTTTTAATAAGATTAGAAACTGAAGCCCATGGAAGTTGTGAGTTGCTCCACGTCCTTAAGTGAGTAGGAGACCCCATGACTTATGACTCCCAGTCTGGTTTCCTCTATTCTTGACTGCTTCTTCCTCAATAATCAGGAAGTAATACATAGATCTTTCTGCCTTTAATATAAAACATGTGTTTCCTTATAGAGGAGAGAAGCCGTACTCCTGTGGCATATGTGGCAAATCCTTCTCTGACTCCAGCGCCAAGAGGAGACACTGCATTCTGCACACGGGCAAAAAGCCTTTCTCCTGCCCTGAGTGTAACTTACAGTTTGCTCGTTTAGACAACCTGAAGGCTCACTTGAAAATCCATAGCAAAGAGAAACATGTAGCGGATGCCAGCAGCATTTCCAGCAATAATAATACTGAAGAGGTCAGGAATATTCTTCAGCTGCAGCCGTATCAACTCTCTACCTCCGGAGAGCAAGAAATACAGCTTCTTGTAACCGATTCTGTACATAACATCAATTTCATGCCTGGTCCCAGCCAAGGAATCAGCATCGTCACTGCAGACAGTTCCCAGAGCATGACTGCAGACCAGGCTGCTAATCTCACGCTGCTCACACAGCAGCCAGAACAATTACAGAATTTAATTCTTTCAGCTCAACAGGAGCAAACGGAACACATCCAGAACCTCAGTGTGATTGAAAGCCAGATGGAACCCTCGCAGAGCGAGCCAGTGCACGTAATCACACTTTCCAAGGAAACCCTGGAGCATCTGCACGCCCACCAAGAGCAAACAGGGGAGCTCCATTTAGCAAGTGCTGCACATCCGGCTCCGCACCTGCAGCTGACGCAGGAGTCTGCTCCGCCACCACCCAGCCCCCACGTGCCACAGCCCACACCGCTGAGCCAGGAGCAGAGCTGACCTAGAAACACGTTTGACTGCTCTGCTGCTCTCTTCTCCCTATGCCAGCTATACCTGGATTGTGGGCTTGACGTCAGGCTTCCTGAAATGCTTACAGGCCCTTGCAGAGATGTAGCCAGCTGTTAGCTATAATGCTTTCCACCCAGGCAGCAAGATGTGTGTATCATGTCCTATATATAGTACTGATAGAGATTTAGCATTTTACTATTGACGAGTGGTTTTCATTTCATCTACTACATCTCATTAAGACTTGGGTAATTTTTCTTTGGGATATCAATTTAGACTTTTCTGTAAGTACTAAAAGCTCACAGCCATAGGTTCTTGTCTTGCTGACCTTTCCAGTTACATTATTTTTTTAGGGCAAGGAAGTCATATGTTGAATTAGGTAGAATGGCTGGTTCCACTTCCTTATTTCTCATAGGCAACACTATTGCCTCTACAAGACAAGTCGAACTCCCAGACCTGCAAAGATACTTGATCTTCATAATGAAGTTAAAGCTTTCTTAATTGTCCTGGAATAATTTTATTCGACATAATTTGTGTTAAATATACTGAATTGTAATTGACCTCTGAAGATGTTGACCTGTGTATTATGTCTGATAAATTTCTGGATAGGAACTTATAAGCTATTTTTATTGCAAAGTAGGTTAAATTCCATAAAATGGGCACATTATTTTTAAAAATAAATATTTCTTATCTTAAAATCATTGAGCCTCAGAGAATTAGTAGCCAACATATATCTGTAATTATTATATGACTTTAGATAATAGTCAAAAGATTAAATTATGCTTGGGTTAGATTTTCCCAATCCAGCATATTTTATTGACTACTTGGACTGCTTTCTCTCAAGTAAGTTAGTAGTGAATTTTTGAGAAACGAAGTGGGCACTGGTATATTTAAGTTAATGCTGGTGGAGAGTAGGGGTGATTTACCCTAAAATTAACAGGATCATCACATCACCTGTTTTCTTATTTTAGACACCTTTGATTTCCACCTGAATCAAATTAAGTTTGGAGGTTAAAGTAATACAGAATTGCTCAGGTTTGAGAGGAGGTGAAAGCATTTTTCAAACATATTTGCCAAAATATGTGTTATTATATATAATTGACAAAATGATTTATATGTATCAACCAAAGTATCTTAAAGTTCGATGACTGTATCCAAAGTAAATGTTAAATCAGACCTGACTAGAGCAGAAGTATTTTTGCAAATATAGTTATGCCTTAAATATTATTTCAGGTTCTCACCTTAGTTATTTAAACTGTTTACTTAAACCTTATTCTTAAAATGCAAAGCCTTTCCCAGCTGTTCAAAGCCTACTGGCCCACGTTTTCTCCAGGATATAAATAGTATTCAAGTAAATGAATTTTTAACTACTCACTCTCGGTAGCTGGGTAATTATTCAGGAAATATGGTGAAGTCACATTTAACTAGCTATATGACAGTCTACCTCTACGCTATGAGAAATTTAATGTGAACCACATACGTAATTTTAAATTTCTAGTAGCCATAATTAAAACAAAAAGAGGGGAAATCAAGTTTAATAAAATAGTTTATTTAATCCAACATTTGCCAAATAGTATCATTTCAACATGTAATCAAAATAAAAATGGATTAATAAGATTTTATATCCTTTCTTGTGTATTAAGTCTTCAAATCTAGTGTGTATAGTATACTTCCTGACACTCATTTTGGATGCTAATGTTCATTGGACATGCTTGATCTATATTTAGAGTTCATGCATTGTACAGTTAAGACTATATATTCAAGTAGTTGTGGACAATTTTTTCAGTAACTGAAATGAGTATCGGTTTTTTAAATATAGTAAAATTAATTAAAATGCAAACCTAGTTCCATGGTCACACTCGCCATGTGTGGCTAGTAGCTCTGTCTTGTACAGCACAGGCCAATCTGTTTCTAACTTGAGAGCCAGTCTCAGCCATAGAAATATCTTCAGGAAGAGTTCTGGGTTGTTTGACCGTCTGTGAAAGGGGAGTGAGAAAATGATAGCTTTATTTATCTAGCCTTGCCTCAGCATCCCAAATATATATTCTGCCCCTTTGAATGAAATTCTGAATTTTTTTTTTAATCCTCACCTAAGGATATGTTTTTATTTTTGTTATTGATTTTAGAGAGAGGGGAAGGGAATGAGAGTGAGAGAGAAACATTGATGTATGAGAGAAACATCAGCCAATTGTCTTCCATATTGCACCCTAAGCAGAGATTGAACCTGCAGCCTTTTGGTGGAAGGGACAATGCTCCAATCAATGAGCCTCCCTGCCAGGGTGAAATCAGTATTTTAAAGTTCAATGACTGTATCCCACGGAAATATCGTGTACTTAAAAACATTGCTATTGTATATATGAGAGATTTATGAGTGTTCCACAACTCATTTTTACTAAAACGTGCAATTTTTTAAATTGACTTAACAAGTACAGAAATACAAATTGTACTTCTTAGGAAATCTATATACAGTGGGGCCTTGACTTATGAGTTTAATTCCTTCCGAGACCGAGCTCGTTAAGGAGCTCGTTAACTCAAATTACTTTATCAACTCAATGCAAAAAATCGACCAAGAGACAGCTGGTATCTCAAAAAACTCGTTAGTCGGGACATTCATAAGTCAAGGCCCCACTGTATATAAAAGCCTAAGCAACCGTTATGACTGGTCGACCAGTCACTATGATACACACTGACCACCAGGGGGCATACGCTCAATGCAGGAGCTGCCCCCTGGTGGTCAGTGTGCTCCCACAGCCAACCTCCCATGGCCAGCCAACCTCCCCCCGCCTGGCAAACCTCCCGTGGTCCCTCACCCCATTTGGCAGCCAGCAGACCCCGGCTGGCCTGGCTCTGATCAGGACTGGGCAAGATGGCCCTGATAGGCCCTGATTGCTGGCGAGGCCTAGGGACCCCACCTGTGTATGAGTTTTGTGCACCAGGCCTCTAGTAGTAGAATGTTTTGCTTTTGGACTACTGAAAAGACGTTTTCACTTAAAAAAGTGAATCTGGTTTTCTCAGTAGTAGGCTATCCTTGGAAAGACTTGAGCTCTTACCATCAAAATAAGTTATTCTTATGCTTGCCAGTGTTTCTCCAAACACCTCCTTATACCTCTCCTCTGTATTTTCTGCAGTTGGTTCTTGAAAGTTTTGTGAGCAACCAGTTAAATAATGCTGAGGAATATGAGACTCATTCTAGATGCTTACATTTAGATTTTCATAAATTGGAGTAATAATTTCTGTCAGGTATGCAAGCCAGGAGCAAAACCAGCTGCATTAAGTCTAACTCTTGTCTTAGTGCTTCTCAAATTTCTTCCATGTCACAGTGCACAAAAAGTAGGCTTTGGACATTACCCTGCGGTTAGAGGACTCGAGTCACCCCTTGCCATGACTGGCATATTAGCTTGTTAGAGCAACATAACAAATACTACAGACTGGGTGACTTTAAAAAGCGGAAATTTATTTCTCATAATTCTGGAGGCCAAAAGTTCAAGATGAAGGTGTGGGCAGAATTGGCTTCTTCTGAGGCCATCCATTCCTCCCTCTTCACATGGTCTTCTCTGTGTGTGTCTTAAACTTATAAGGGTACCAGTCATGTTGGATTAAGGCCCACCCTAGTGACCACATTTTAACTAAGTTACTTTTTTTAAAGACCCTGACTCCAGATAGTCACATTCTAAGATACTGGGGGTTAGGACATCATTGAATTTATGGGGGACACAATTCAGGCCATAGCCACTGGCATTTGGAATGTGTTGGGAAGCAGTGTCTGGGACACACCTGTAACCCATTAGAAGCACATCTTATTTTACTTATATTTCATGACACTCCTGTGAAATAAGTAATATTATGACTGTTTTACAGATGAGAACACTGAATCCCAAACAGATGAAGTGCTCAGGGCCGGGAGACCCCACTACGCTGCCTCCACCCAAGAGCAGCTATCACCAGTCTGAAATGTTCAGCTGGATTTCTCTTTACATAGGATTTGCTTAATGGAATAGAACCTTTTAAACTAAAACTTAGGGGTTTTGTCTGAAGTGTTAGCATATAATCATAAACTTCTTACATGATACA